GTGTGTGTGTGTGTGTGTGTGTGTGTGTGTGTGTTTTGACTCCACTCACCATTGTACCAACTCCATATGTCGTCGTTGGTCCGACTGAGTGGTGGTAGGGGTCTGCGGCTGTGGCGTACACCCGTCCATATCTGGACAAAGACAGATGTAATGTCACATATGTCATGATGGAGGCCGCAGCCAGGGTAGTCCCACAGGAAGTTCTGACTAACAGCCACCATCAGTCGACAGTGAAGTCCAAACCTTCCCCACACTCAGAAATACAAAATAATTAGATTACATTTTTTTAATTCTACCTGAAAAAGTCAAATTCAGCACATTATAGAACCCAATGTGTTCTTGTAGATTGAAAGTTACTAAACATGTCATTTAAACACAGAAAGAATACAAAGGACATTTTTGATGCTTTGTACTTTTTTTACTTCACTGAAAATTAGAAAACATCTTTTGGTTCTACCATGTCGCACATAATACTAAACTCATCGTAAAGATGTTGACAAGTTGTCACATTTAGTGAAGATGTGCTGCAAGTGTAAAAACTGGCTTCTTTGGGTGAAGTGCAAATACTTTAAACACAGAACTGTGTATTTTCGAAGCAAGTACCTTCACATATGTACTCGAAAATGAGAAAATATGTGAGTTCACACAATGTGGATTTTAGGGAAGACATTGCTTTTCATAATAACATTTAAAACCCATCAAATCACTTGTGATGTGTTTCCATTTACGAGAAAAAAACAGTTTCAACATTCAACAAAATTATGAATCAATGTCACAGTTATCTAGTAATGTATATCACTGTTCAACATCGATATTTAAAAATGAGAAGAAGTCATTGTATAACAAGAAGAAGAAGAATTGTGACCAGAGTAAGACACATGCCTTCTATTAATCTATACAAATTCAATATGCAGAAAATTAATGATAACGTTATAAGTGTTTTTGTGAGGAACACGTTGATGACTGATATTATATTTATCTGCCTACCCATCACTGTAGGTCGCCGTGGCAGCAGATGCTGATTGAGCCACTCTATAAGCTGCTGGATATCCACCCTGAAACAAAGAGACAGAACTATATATGATATTTACTGATTTCAAACAACAGTGTGAGATGATGGATGGATGAACAGATGGATGAATGGATGGATAATTAGATGGATGAATGGATAAATGAAAAGATGGATGAATGGATGGATGAAAAGATGGATGAATGGATAGATGAATAGATGGATGAATGTATGGATGAAAAGATGGATGAATGGATGGATGAATAGATGCATGGATGGATGGATGAATGGATGGATGAATGGATAGATGAATGGATGGATGAATGGATGGATGAATAGATGGATGAATGAATGGAGTGTAAGAAAAGCACAGATACTTACATAAACCTCTGCTCCATACAGTCCGTCCTGGTATACAACCCTGAAACAAAACGAGTAAACACAATATTTAAGTGATTTGTAGTGAATTATTTAAATGTTGACCTGACACCACAGGACTCAGACTCTTACCCAGGGTAGGCGGGGACAGCAGCTGCAGGTGCGGCTGCAGCTGCAGAGCGAATCGTGTTGTAGACGGCTCGACCTCGACCACGCAATGCAGAGCCCCGATAGGCCAAGGTGGGAGTCGCTACAGGGTACGGAAAACTGGCAACTGAGGAAAACAAAGAACAAAACATTTAATTCTAAATGGTAAATTGTATGTAGCTGATAAAGTGATAAAGGTGATAAGTCCATTCACCTGTATAGAGCTCAGGTGCATACATTGCTCCCATGACAGGGTTGATCTTCCATCCAGAAGCTGCACAGAAGAAAAAACAAAGTTGCAATGAGAAGCTAAAACTTCCCATAATCCCTCAAAACAGGAAATGTGAGTTTATTAACGAGTTGCTTCTTACTTGAAATGTCACCATTCACCAGAGGCGTCTGGGGCTTCTTGGTCACTACTCTTGCAGTGGCATTATTAACCTGAGGAGACAAAGAACAACAGTAAAGCAGCGATAAAAGGTGATTTTGCAGAATAATAATGTGGAAAACCTACAAATGTTGGGAAATCTCACGGACCTCAATCTTTCTCCCTTCCACGATTGTTCCGTTCAGCTTTTCTCGAGCTCGGTCAGCCTCAGCGGCGCTCTCGAAGGTTACGAATCCAAAGCCCTTCAGGTTTGCATGATTATATCGTTATTTTCTTTATGTGTCTTCATTAAAATTCCTCCTCATGTTTGTTTCTGTGACTCACCTTGGACCCCCTCTCATTGAAGATGATTTCTACATCAAGGATCTTGCCAAACTGCTGCAGGTGTCAGATGGATTTTGGAATAATAGTAATTAGTGTTTATGACAATTCAATCCATATGATGAATGACTGTATTCTTATTATCTGTAGTGTACAGGATGAACTTCATACCCCAAACATCTGGCGGAGGTCTGGGTCTCTGAAGCGGAACGGGATGTTGGAGACGTGGAGGCGTTTGGGTTGGGCCTTACCTGACCCCTCCTCCTCACTTCCACTTCCTGCCCCGCCTCCTGATGACACGGACACACTCAGAGACTGGGGGTCAGAGGTCACAGGGGCCAAAGCGTCCTCCTGACAGCGAGAAAGTATGAAATAGAAAGAGGAGGACAAAGAGGAAAAGAGGAAGGGATGCGAGCACGTGGACAAAAGAAGAATTGACGAGAAGGAAGGAACACACAAGAACAGAAAGATGGAAAACAAACAATGGGGAGAATGAGAATGTGATGAGACAGATGTGAAGAAAAATGGGGAGAGGGCATCAGTAGAAAAGCAAAGAAAGAAAAAAGGGGAAAATAATCATGTCAATTCTATTTAGCAAAATCTGTCAAGAGGTTTTCTGTTGTGTGTAAAACTTCAGTCACGTAAGCATCACATGGCATTAGGCAAATATAACGTCCATGAAGTCAAGTGATCCAAACCAAAATTCAAAGAGCATTCAGCAACCAGTGATCCTTCTCAGGCAAATGTGAGGAGGCATGAAAAGGGCTCCATTTTTAGTGAGGCGTCTTTTAAATACATGCCTGTCCTTTGAGTTTCTATAGAGGATATTATAATGTTTCCTATTCACTACCAATGAAGATTAAATATCCGACAGTTAAATTACGCTCACTCCAGCTGTGGCAAAGAGGGTTAAACATTAAAGTTCCTCTGAAAACAATACAGTAGTTTACATAGTCTCCTTTTATCTAAAATAATACATTCAATATATATATCTTAAAGAATCTGTAAAATAAATATAAAACTATGGTAAGTATAAACAAATTAAAACTGCCTCATGCAAAATGAATAAAATCAAGGACTAATGTGCCAAAACCAAAACATTCACTATCCCACAATGCACCACGATGCTAGTGTGTGCGTGTGTACAAGTTTGTGTTCGTCAACCAGCATCATCAACCATTGCATTAACAGAGTTAAACATTTTTTTAAGACAAGTGAATGAGTCCAGACGAGAATAAGAGAAAGACAAAGAAAGGCAAAAAAAAAAACGGAAAAGAAAGTACAAGGAGCTTCAGCAAAGAGAGAAAGAAAAGACAGGGTGCAAAAAATAAAGCAATTTTTTACAGGAAAAAGTGAAAAGTCAACTTAATTGAAAATAAGAGTTGCAGTCCCAAGTATTAGCATTGTAGTACCAAGAGGCAGATACAGAATGGGGAGGCCTTGGTGCAGCAGTGAAAAGATAAAATGACACCACAGTAAACAAGGCAAAGAAGGTGCGCAGAAAGCTTGAAAAGGAAGAGGTGAAGGGGGAGTGGGGGAGAGATCTACACTAAACGTTCCACAAGGGTCAGTTTGGGGAGGGGGGGGGGGGGGGGGGGGGTCACGGTGCTGCTTTTCTGCCAAAGGTTAAAGGTCATAATTAATTGGGTGGGGATTTACAGAGAAATGTCACAGACACACACTCACAGAGGGAAGCGTTTGACAAACAACATAAACACACACAGGCCGCTGCTGTATTACACTACACTGATCGGCCGTGGGTAACTACAGTGTAGACGTCACATCCACTCACACACACACCACACAGACACAGGCTGGAGGGGAGGGGGAGACAGGGAGAGAGGGTTGAGTTGGGCAGTGGTGTCAAGTCACGATGCAGATTTGTGTTTCTGGACCTGAGCGATATTTCATTGGGGGGAAGGGGCTCATCTGGTCAGCCTCCCCCTTTCACCCCCTCCCTCCATGGCGATGTCTCAACTTTCCCCCGAAAATCGGCGCAGACCCGAGTATGTCAGGGGCTCTAGTAATAAAATATATAGATGGGGCCACAAAACACCATTTATAAGAGGAGGAAGAGAGACGTGCTGCAGCGACAGGACACAGAGTCGACCTGCCACACATACACTCATCAGATGAAACACCTCCATCTTTATCAGACTGAAACTTTTCATGCCATATTTTTCATGTCATATCCTAAACTGCAAAAAAAAAAAAGTAGTCCACTAATATAAAATGTGACTAAAGTGAGTTAATAAAAGTCTTATTTTGGTAAAAATAGAAAAAAAATATGCCAATCTAATCCCACATGTTGATGTAAATTGTTGTAAATCTCTAAAAAACGATAATTACATTGTATAAAATATTTTGCACTGTAAAATAATAAAATACTAAAACTGGTAACTCTCGCTGTCAGATAAAGATAGTGGAAATAAATGTAGAAGAGTATAAGCACAAAGAAGCAAAAGATTGAAGCACCCAGAAAGTACATCTCAAAATTATCCTTACGTAAAGTAAATTAGTAAACGTACTTAGATTCTTCTCACCACCAGAAATAATTTTGCTGCACTGTCACATCACTGAAAAAAGAAAATTGTTCGACAAAGCTAAAAAAATATTTAAATTGCTTACACATTTCTTTTTTTCATTGCAAAAACATAGTTGGGAACAAATATCAAACTTTAGTTAACATCTCAAGTCATACAGACTCTATCTGTAACAACTTCTCACGTTAACGTCTTTTTTAACCTTTCTTTTGTTTTTTGAAATGGAAGATAAACCACAACATTACATCTTCTACTTGTGTGAAGCATCGAGTCAAACTGTCGCAGCTCTGATCTTGAAAGCTGATCTGTTTTAATGGCAGCTAAATAAGACACAGGAGAGAAGGAAGTGGGGGGATTTGTTTTCAACAACAAATCCCTTCTCAGCTGCCCCCCCCCACTTTACTGCACTGAGCGTGAGCTGCATTCCCATACATGGACACATCAGTGGTGGTGGTGGTTCTCTAAATATAGAGGGAAACTCTATCTGACCATGTTTCTCTCGTGGGACATATGGACGGACTACCTGTCACAGAAGGGTTTCTTGTCACATTAGCTTCTGGAAGATCATGTTTCATTGGGACATGAAGGTTTTGGCATCATGTGAATTCATTAACATCTTCATTAACTGCTCTTACCGCGGAGCCGGACGTCAGGGCCTCGGCCCCTTCGAGCTGAGGGCCCTGATAGACTCTGAGTTGGGGATGCTCTGCGTACTCTGAACCGGCATGTGCAGAGGTGAAGTCCAGAGGGGGCAGTCTGCCCGCAGATGTTGGCGGACCTTGTCCCGGTGGGGGGTAAGAAGGAGGCGGGGCGTAGACCTGAGATAGGGCGGGGTCGCCGCTCCCCGGGCCGGCCTCCTGGGTGGCACCTCCCTGAAGAGGAGAGAGAAGGGGTGAGGATGATGTGAGAGGTGTAAACACACTAAACATCAGATTAGTAAATATCATCGTTAAGATCATTTAATGAAAGGTTTATCACATATGAACATACTGTAGCATGACTGGAGGGTCACACCACTGATTTTACACATAATCATCAGGAAGAACAACTCAACTGGTGTAAATACTTCAATCATATTTCCTGTGATCTATGGAGGGCCGTTTCTAAAATTTGAGGCAAAAATCTCAGCAGAGTTTTCTTGGATTCTTCAGACTTATTTTCTTGATTTGTGACGTTTACAAGTCTGGGCTCCAGGACGTTTTTGCTGCTTCACTTGCACCAGGAACTGAAAATCACAACATGTCAGCCTTTTGACAACTTCACAAAGAATCAGAGTACTCCAACTTATTGGATGCATATCATTTATCGCTGGATTTCCCCCTTAAGAGTCACAACCTTTAATTAACCACATGCTTTGTAACTTATAGTACAAATTCTAAAATAAAAAGAATGAAAGCTTCTTGAGAACTGAAGAAGCCTTTTGGTTGAGAGGTGAAGCATCTTGAAGGAACATGAGCAAGTCCAGTTGCCCATGCACACTTCTTTAGAATCTCCACAGATAAAATAAAAAGAATCTCTAATAGCTATAGTCAAAACAATCTGTTGATATACCAGACTCAGAAGAATTAACATATTTGATAAGTAATAATTTAGAGACAGAAAAACACAATACATTTTTGACATTTTACACATGAAGCCATATCCAGATCAATCTAGCTAATGTTGCAGTCTCTCTAACAGCCATCATAGATGTTTGGGTTTGAAGGATTGATTTGAAATCCTCATTTAGAGAAACATCTGGACAGTGCACATCATGGTGTTCTTTCATTCAGAAACAAACCACATCAAACTCTGTTAAGTAACCAACAGAAAAACAATGAACACACGTTTAGTACATGACGTGAGAACAGACCTAAACCACACAGACAAAGAGATGAACGACCATCCTGTACAGCCTCAATACAAGAAGTGAATTTGCAGGTTAGGAACTAAAAGCATTGTCTTACCCCTTTACTGCATTCCTCAATCTCTGATGCATTGTCCAACAACTGCCTCATGTTATAGTAACGCCAGCTGACCACCCGCCCACTGCCCCAGCACTTCTGCTCAGCCACCAATCACATCAAATGATGGCAGGAGCAAAAGGGAGCAGGAGGCCACGCCAGCTGTGGTCATCTGTAACTGTCAATCACCTTGCTGCCCACACCCACCCACCACCCTGCCTTCACTTTACACACACACACACACACACACACACACACACACACACACACACACACACACACACACACTTCATGCTCTAACATAATTATGAACAGTGCTCTGAGGAAGTAAATGTTGTAGTAAAACAACACAGATAATCACTTACTGAGGGATGCAGTATAGTTAGTACAGTAACGACTTCACTATTTGGAGTTACTGGTACTTTCACTCATAATTTTTGTTTGGTGCAACCCAATATTTTGGCTGTGACACATTTATCTGGAAACTGCAGCTGCTGCTTACACACTGAAACATGAAATAACCTTTTAAGATGCAGCTGTTGTTAGTTTAACCAAATGTAAACGTTTCAGGGACGATGAAAAAACAGCCTCGGCTCGACCAGAGTATTTATTTCTGACACTATTTAAACCGTATTTATAAAAGAAAAGCACTTTCTTTAGCCTGTAACATATCATTACTTCTCATTATTTTTACAGCAATTTATTTCTCTCACCAGCCGATATAGTTATCAGCCTTGACCTGGTATTTACTGATATATTCATTAGTCTGGTTCATATTTTTCCACAGCAGCATCCTATCTCTACATCTCAGTGTTGCCTTACAAACAAAATACCACAACTTCATCAGCCAGCATCAGGATTAAGAAAGGATCTGTTATAATTAAATCTCTGTCCTCTGTCGTCTCATAATGTCTCATATATCTCTCAATGAGCGGTCTCACTTGACGTGTGATAAATTAGATCTGTGCAGATGCTGGTAAACAAATGTGGGAGGAATTGGAAGAAGCAGGGCTGCAGAAACACCGACATGGATTCTCTAAAGCACATCCACAAAAATAATGTTGTGTGTAGCCAACGACGATGCAGACAACATCAGAGAATGCGTCTCACAGCTCAGACTGAACAGATTACTGAAGTCTCTTGCTCCTCAGTCCATCAGTTTGTTGGATCAGAGTGCTGTTATAAAGCAGCAGGGGTCTGATGCAATGCAAACAGCATTTGTGAGTTTAGGAGTTGTTTACATGTGTACAACCACTGAAGAAAAGAAGCAGGTGTGGGAAGTAAATGCACTGAAACTATGTGACTGTGGTGGAGAAGATTTTCATTTATTTTTGTACATAACTGTAAATCTTGTCATGCTGTAAATAATATAATTATATATGTAGATACGTATATCATACAATGTACGTATCCATCCATCCCACACAACAATATACATCCAGTATTTATTATTAATTTCTTAAATTAATTTATTCAATGTTGTGGTCCTCGTCACTTGCTTTATGTTGATGTTTTCTTTAACACTAAAAATACAAGACTGAAACTTGAGTCCTGCTGCTCGATGAAACTGAACTTTCAGCCCAGTACTGTTCACCTTTAAGTGCAGGACAAATTGGAAAATGAAATAAATCTAAATAGATTTTTACCGATCATGTTTCTTGTTTTCAGAATTCTGGAGAGACTGTGACCTATGGTTGTTACTCAAACTCCATCATGTGTCAGTTTACCAGCGGCATTAACTTTCAGTCTGGATCATGTTCCCGGCACTAACTTTTGCCTGTGGCCTGTTTATCTCAAGAAAACTGTGATAAAAAGTGTTAAATAAGTGAAGATAACACAATCTGTTGTATCCTGCAACCCCTCTGCCGGATGAAGCATGACAGTGTCAGCAGGGACAGACACCGTGTCCCCTTCTCCTCCTACTTACAGGCTTTTTTTGATTTCCATTTGCTCCCTCTTTTTCTCGTCTCCCTCCTCAGCTGTCAGTTCGTGGTCAGGGGTCAATAGCTCTGAGCCAGGTGCCTGCTGGGACAGCTGCCACAGGATTTACGCACAGACAACACTAACTGCAGATGTGGCCTTTTAGTAGCAGCCAAGTTACACATGCTGGCAATAGGAAACTAATGGTTCAAACTTTCATCCGTTATTTTGGCCTTGATTTCCCCTCCACGGGTTCCCTCATTAAGTGTGTTTATACACTTTTATTAGATATTTGACAAGGAAGAGAGACAGGAAACACTTTGGAAACAATAAAGTATAAAGGGATAGTGCACTTCAATCATTCAAGTCTTTCACCGAACCACTGAAGGAACATGCATCCTAGAAAACCACAACAATTTACTGAAACTATAAAAAGGTGTCAGGAAGGAAAATTTAATTTTATAGTGCCAGCATATTTTGGAGAATTATCTCCCTCCTCGTGAAAAAAAATCATTAAATGAATCAAGATGTCATCATGAACATAACTGTAAAATACAGTGAAGGTCTCAGCCATTCTTGATGAAGGCCTGTTTGTACTGAAATATGATCCAGTATGGACAAGATGAAAGCACGAACCTCTTTTTAAAAAATACTTCTCTGTACACGTCAAGTCTCCTATAAAGTTAAATATTCTGTTGTTAATTTACAGGCTGCTTAATACACAATATCTAAAGGGACAATGGTGAAGGTGAGTTCACACGAGGCAGGTTTCACACTGGTTTTAAGAACAGTAACTGCAGAAAACAAAATAGGTGTCAGAATCTCCTCCTGTGATTATCAGGACGGCTAAAAATACAGCTGGTGTGAAGCACAGAGACAAGGTAGAGAGATACCAGACGCATGGTGGCATTACTGGTATGTCAGGGACACTTAGAGACAGAGACACACACACACACAAACACACACACACTTGTAACCTGCCACGACAAGTGAACTAAAGATAACCCACATATCAATAGTATTGAATAAATAAAATATGTTTCAATCAACTTTGTCCAGCTCCCATCAGGCCTCTTTGATTTTAACTTCCTCTAATCTCCTCTGTAAATGAGATGTCATGCCACTATTAAGCAAAACTGAATTACATTTAAGATGTGACTCACTGAGTCAAGGGAATAAGGGACATTTTCTTCTCTTTCTGATTTAATTCAATGTTTTCCTCCTCACTGGGGATATGTTGGCTATACCAACACTGATTTCTAAATTACCATTAAAAAAATTAATCAGAGCTGAAATGACAAATCTGACAATAATTATGTGTCATATTTTCAGCAAAAATGCCCAAAACAAATTGATTTTGTCTCCTCTTCAACTTTTGATCAGATAAAACATGAAGTTTAAACATGTCAGCATGGAGTCTTGTACATTTCTGCAACCAACTGATTAATTAATTGGCGCTTGTCATTAATTGGATAAATGGAAATACTTGTTGGCTGCCTCTCATTCACCTATGGATTTTATTAGAATTCCATTCATGTAATGGCATCTCTAGTTTCTTAGTTCCTATCCCTGAATCTTGAGGCACCATAGAAAGAGGCTCAAGGCTCCCAGGTCCCAGGACTTCTGACAACGCTAGCTTGTGAAGACAAACGTTTGAGTGAGACTTTGGAGTTTACACAGCAAACAAAGGAGAGTTTTTACCTGAACTATGCTGGGGTAGCATGTGGGTGTCTGTTGGTAGACAGGCAGTCCATATGGCTGGAGAATCACAGTGGGTGAGGAGAGCATAGCCCAAAACTACACACAAGGACACAGGGAACAGTGGAAGATGGGAGGAAGAGGAGAAGGAGAGCAGGGGGGAAAGGAAGGCTTGATCTTCACACAGGAGAGCAGGCAACCAGGCAGGGGGAAAAAAAGAAGAAGAAAAAATCCCAACAGGAGAAAAGAGAAGATCCAAGAAGGTGAGAGGGAAGAAGTTTAAGACTCTGTTTGACTTTACAGGTGAGTCAAAGGTGAAAATACAGAGACGATTCCACAAAACAACCGGTGTCCTGTCAGGAAAATACAGGATATAGGGCAGTGAAAGAGAAAGCAAGTGAGCTCCTGTGTGTCCATCAGTTGATCGTGCAGCCTGACAGACAGAAACACATGTTCAGGGTCCCATTTCAGAGTTATATAAATAGTCACCCATGTCCTTCTCTCTGAGTTTACCACCTTACCTCCCTCACTCACAAACACTTTGTCCTGAGATGTTTTCTAACAACTTATTACACATGTAAGAACATGCAGGAGAGACGTTTGCTGGACTCAAACTCGTTGTGTATCATTGAGAAATAATCTTCTCCATTTTGTCTAGCCGCCATGTCTGTTATTAATTTAATACACATTATGACTTATTCATTATTTTTTTGACAAGAGACAGAACCAAAACTACTTAAATTTAAATTTAACAAATAAAGAACAAAATAATATAAATGTCAATAATTAAATACCGAAATAAATGAGTAAATACATGAAAAGATGAAAATATAAATACAGTTAGCTGAGGGAAAGGTTTATTTATACAGTTCTGCATTTATCTATTCAGGCATTTCTACATTTAATCACATGTTTATTTATCCAGCAAATGTACTTATATATCTGATACACACATCCAGGACCAAAACTACCACAATTAAAATTAAATGAATATAGGACTCATTATAAAAACCAATACATGCAGAAATAAATGAGTAAATACATGAATAAATAATAAAAATAAATGTAGTTACGTGAAGGGAAAGTTTATTTAACAATGTACTTGTTTCATTTTAATTTTTGGGAATTCAGTTCTTTCAGCACTTTTCTCATAAACCTCCTGTGACCGACAGAGGGCGAAAACACCAACTTCCGCTCCGGTGCAGAGGGGCACGACGGGATATGTAGTGCGTGCGTCATGCCCTATAAAGCTGATGTGACTTCCTGTAACGTCCTCTTTACTGCGCCAGCCTGAGCGACACAGGTACGATGAGCGGCCTCCTGCTGCACTAACACACAGAGACGCCACATTTGAAGTATTTAAATGTACAGAAGCTTGTGTTTAATACAGAGAAGCTGTTGTACTTTGGAGAATGTGTATTTTAAACCGCCCGCTTTGCATTTTGCGATTGTTAAAGAGGGAAATTGTAACTCGGCTAAGCTAACGTTAGCTTGTACCGGTGAAAACGTGGTGCGGTGCAGCTGCGGCCTGGTCTTGTGGCTGACAGAGTGCGGGTTTCTAACGCATACTGACACAGATTCTATAAGTGAATGTATTCTTTATAGTGTTAACTCGAACACAAACTATGTGTTTCATCACGATCTCGTAGTTTACGATACTAAACTAGTTAATCGTGTAATTCTGAGTCAATCCAATTGAGGTTGCCAACAAACAGATTAACTTTAAAACTAGTGATTTCTAACCATAACTTCCGATGTGATTAGTTCAGTTTTACAGAGCAGTCAGTGAACTCTGAGTAAATCAAAGCCAGCTGATTCGGTATGAGTGAGATTAGCTTTTTTAATGATCATGTTATGATTACAACTGTCTCAGTTTTGCATCGCTCATACTTTCTGAAGTTTGTCAGAATACTTGTTTTCTCCTCTGGCTAACTTTGTCTAATGTCCTCGTGTTGCAGGCACTTCTAAGCCGCCATGCCCGTTGCCAGGAGTTGGGTTTGTCGCAAGACATACGTCACCCCCCGCCGTCCCTTCGAGAAGTCCCGTCTCGACCAGGAGTTGAAACTCATTGGTATGCTCTGGCTTTATTAATAGAAAAAGTCGATTTAAGAATTAACGCTCTGTTGCTTTCGTATTTTATCGATTTGGCTTGACTGTTGCGATCTGTTCTCCCCAGGCGAGTATGGTCTGAGGAACAAGCGTGAGGTGTGGAGGGTCAAGTTCACCCTGGCCAAGATCCGCAAAGCTGCCAGAGAGCTGCTGACTCTGGATGAGAAGGAACCCAAGCGTCTGTTTGAAGGTAAACCAATAAGTCCACGCTACATTTATCATTATATTGGCCGATGATTTAAATATCAACTGTCAGACTTCCTATGGTGTCAAGAATTCCTCGTGAATGAGGCCTAAACTGTCAATTTAAATGCCAGACACAATGTCTTTGGAACTGTAGGTCAATGGTGTTTTATTTTTTTCCAGGTAATGCTTTGCTCAGGCGTCTGGTGAGGATCGGTGTGCTGGATGAGGGTAAGATGAAGCTCGATTACATCCTGGGCCTGAAGGTTGAAGATTTCTTGGAGAGGAGGCTGCAGACACAGGTCTTCAAGCTCGGACTCGCCAAGAGCATCCACCATGCCCGTGTCCTCATCCGCCAGAGGCACATCCGGTAAGTTATGATGCTCCTGTGGAGCATATGTCAAACATAAAAGGGTATTTAAGTCTTCTGAGGGACTCACAAGAAACTGTTGATGCTTCCTGTTCCATCAGAGGACCACCAGCTTGTAACACTGTCCGCTGAGGTCAGTTAAACATTTCAGAAAGGTCAATTCGGTATCAAAACCGTACACCTTGTCAATAGACATTGCCCAGAGACAATCCTGCCGCCGAGGGCTCAGACTGTGCCTCTGGTGTTGTGGCTGTCAGGTAAGGTACAGGGATTGCACCTCAGGCAATTGTAGTGCTCGTTTTATACCCCATGTTGTGATGACTGGCTCATTAAGAAATGTTTTGACTTTATGTCATAGTCCCTGTAAATACACCCAGCAGTAAAAGATGATATAGTGCACTAGATGGTAAAAGCTCAAGACTAAATTTGAGTTAGTTTGTCATCAATTAAATTTCTTTCATCTTTCTGTCTGCAGTGTGCGCAAGCAGGTGGTGAACATCCCCTCCTTCGTGGTGCGCCTGGACAGCCAGAAGCACATCGACTTCTCCCTGAGGTCGCCGTACGGTGGCGGACGCCCAGGCCGCGTCAAGAGAAAGAACGCCAAGAAGGGCCAGGGTGGAGCTGGAGGAGCTGACGATGAGGAGGAGGATTAAGAAGGATGAATTCCAGGGACTGTTAAAACTTCCTGTTTTCAATAAAAATATGGTCTGACCAGAAAACTGACTTGTGTTTTGGCTTTTTTTTAAAGGTTATAAATTATATATTTTTGCCATTTCTTTGTACCATCAATCAAATGTTATATTAATCAAATGAAGATGAACACAGATGTATATGAATTCTGTGTAGAGGGGAAAGTCGCTTCAAAACGTTGCTGGCACAGAAGCATGTGTAGCCCCTGGTATCAGAAAGCTAAAGTCCACCCCCCCTACAGTGAAAGTGGTACCGTCCTGGTACATGACGTGACGTCATCTTCCCTCGACCGGAAGTAAAAGCGGTAGATGTGAGCAGGGCACGGTGCTGTGGATGTTATAGCTCTTCTGGTGACTGGAGTCTTCTGACCGGAGAGATTAAACACAGATGTGAGTAATGGAAAGTTAAAACTGCTTATTCTTATAACTTGATGACCATAGTATCAAGTGAGTGACACGTGTCAACACGTTTTAACTGTGAATACAGATGTTGGTAAAATATCGATATCTTCATAAACAACGCTGTGAATGAAGTGTGCGCATTTCTTTAAGTATCTAGTGACACAACCTCCGCTGCTTATTCATTATATATAAGAGCACAAGCTCCGACATGTTAAACCATGTTATGTAATATTGCTGTTTAATGTGTTAATGAACCTTTTGTGATTCACTGTCCACAACCATCGTTGCTTCGGTGTTTCATGCAGCTTCCGGGACGTTGCATTCACAGTGGTTGTTTTCACATTTCACGCTAGAACATGTTGTGAAATCCAACCTGAAGATTTCTCAAATGTTGCTGCTGCTTCAAACTTAATCTCTACTCTGATCAGACAGTGGAAGCAGGAAGCACTGAGACAAATGGCAGATCACGGAACTTAAATCAGATAATTAATGACTTTATTTGTATTGCACCTAAACAAGGTTAGTTGCTTCTCAAAATCCATGGCAGAAAATGAATATATGTGTCGGTATTTGGTGTTTTGACTATTAAAACAAGCCCCAGTGTTGAAAAGTACGATTAAGAAAGTTTAATTTTGATCTTGTACTTAGCCTAAGTATTCACATCTCATTGTGTACTTCTACTCCACTACATGGAAGGAAATATTACACTATTAATACCACTCAGCTGCCATGCAGCTTTGGGGACTTCTCAAAGTTAAGTTTGTGCTTAAAGAAACAAATGTCTGAGCAGCAGCAGCTCAACTCATGAGATATGATCTCACACAGTTTCATTGAAGGAGCTGTTTGAAGCCCAAAGTCAAATGATTCAATCATTTACTAAACGTTTAGTTGGATTAAAAAAATTAGTGACAGTTTGTTGACCTGACCTAAATTGGAAACTGGATTAAACTGTACATAAAGTAGCTGTTAGATAGAACTGTCAGATATCAGGCATGGCGGTAAAGTAATTTTAGTTTTTATACTACTTCTGTACTTGATATATGACCTATACATGATTAATAAATAAACTCTGCTCTATTTTTTGTAGATATGATAAAAAGTACAGTGGATCCTTTACTCTGTTAAACCTCACATTCACTAAATTAAAAATGTTATTGTCAAAAACCTCTCTGGCCTTATTTCTTCACTTTATAAGGGGATTTGAACACAGCCCTTTCTCTTTATAAGTAAATGTTATGGAAAAACATTCACCTCTAATTTGCAATATTTTCTGAACCAGCACAAACACCCGTTGTAATTCTTTGCTTCATCAAGGCAGTGGGTAATCTGCTGCAGTGTTGTATTGTCTCCATCATATTTGCATTGTTTTCCATTTGCGTAAGTTTGGAGCTGAGTCGTGTTCCTGTGCCGGTAGAGCGATGTCTCCCGATGAGCTGGTGTACTTGGGAATTCTCGCTGCCTCCATCCCTGCTGGATTCCTCTTCCGCTACCTCAGTGAGTATTTTGTTTAAGATCATGAAATCCATCTCATATGATACTGTTTCCTTTTCTGTGCAAAGGATTTCAGCATCTGAAATCAAATGGATGATTGTACGACCTCTGTATAGAGTGTGAACACTTGTGAAATGGTGATGGGTCTGTTGTGTTTAGGTTCCACCTGCTTTGATTGACAGTAAATTCAAAAGCAGTTAAAAGTTTCCTGTATGTCGTTTAATTGTGGAACTTTGCTCGGATTTCAGGTCCGCCTGGGAAGCAGGGAGCAGCTCTTCTCCTGGGCCTCTCCATCACCATTGCCACGTGTAATATCCACACACTGCACTCTCTGGTGACAGTGATTGGAACATGGATCATTATAAAGAGCAGCTGGAGGTGAGTTAACATCTTCATGTGTTTACAAAATCATTTTCACTACATGTCAGTGTTAGTGCAAAAGTCAGGATCTGCAGAATGCAGCTACTTTTAGTGCTGATTGTTGGGCCCTTTATTTCTTCCTTCACTTACAGCTTTTGTGTACACGTGAATGTCTTTGTGTACAAATCAAATTTTTTAGTATAATTGTGGTTTTTCGTCTGTTAAAAAAATAATTAAAGTAGAATGTCACTCTACAACACAAGGCTCAACAATGCCATTAAATTCAATCAAGTGTTGCATCCACACCAACATTAATGAGTTCTTTCTTGGCCCAAGTCCCATTCTTCAATCGAGATTCATGGAAATCAGTTGAGTACTTTTTATAACTGTGCAGACGTAACACATGAACTCACTCGTAACTTTTGTCCCTTGACTGCAAGACACGCCCCAGCACTGAGTCTCAGCTGGACGTTTATCTACCTGCTCTTCTTCCGGCTGGTCACATGGTTCGGTCTGCCATCACCGACACCATTTGCCAATGCCGTCCAGCTTCTTCTCACTCTCAAGGTACGGAAACACAGGAGGAGACGATTACATCTGTTCAGCTAAGACATCAGCAGATTCCTCTATCATCACAACCCAGTGTCTTTACAATCTTTGTTGACCTTTTTTGTGTCTTGCTGTTTTTACCCCAGATGGTGAGTTTAGCCAATGAGGTGTACACTTTCCACATGGAGAAGAAAAAGGAATTGAGCTCTTTTTCTAAGTCTCCTGTCGTCGGTGGTCTGTCCGAGGAGCCCTCTCTCTACGATATTCTGTCCTATAGCTACTGTTATGTGGGTATAATGACCGGTACGTGGAAATGTCTCCTCAGAATATTCTCTCTTTTTCAGTTTAGCTGTAAAGTGAACAATTGAAAATTGTGCACGATGTTTTTGTTTGTGAGCTGTTGATCCATTTGCTTTTGCATGAATTTTAACTGTTGTCTCTCTTTGTCTCGCTCTCCGCTACTTGTCCAATATTGTGTGAGTCCATATTGTCTTCAGTATTATATCTAAATCCTTTTTTAAATTACTTTTCTTTTTGTTTTTTTCCTCTGTTCTTCAAAAACACCCTCTCTTCGTTTGAACCCCATTGTCCTCCACTTGTTCCCCCTTGTGTCTCACATTATCATGATTGTCCATTGTCTGTCACTGTCTTCTCAACACTGCCTTTATTCCTTTATCTCATCGGCCCATCTCGGTAAAGGTCCCTTCTTTCGCTTCCAAACGTACGTTGACTGGCTGAGGCAGCCGGCGCCCCTGGCCCTCCCCGGCTTGGCACCGTGCCTGCAGCGTTTGAAGCTGGTTCCGGTCTACGGCGCTTTGTTCCTGGCCGTAAACTCTGTCTTTCCTCTGGCTTATGTTCGCACAGACGACTTCCTGGATCAAAACTATTTCTTCAGGTATTGTGGTATTCAAATTGTTATTTTTTATGTAATCTCATGCAATCATTTTGGTAATAACTTTATAGAAGATAAATAAAATAGGCATAAATAAACAGAATTGTTATTTAGTGTTTAGATTTCTCTGTTTTCTCTATTACCAGGTTGTTCTACATGATAGCGGTGTTCTTCGTGTTTCGGATGCGTTTCTATGCAGCCTGGTGTGGAGCTGAGGCCGGGTGTATCAGTGCAGGTCTGGGCTGTTATCCAGAAAAAGCACTGTCCAAACCTGGAGGAGGACCCACAGTCACCTACAGGTACATCACCATTGGAATAATACATATATTAAAAGAGTATGCATCAATATCTACACCTGTGTAAATAAAGTAATGCAGTAAAATGTGATTGCAGTGCTAACTGACATTTTTGAATGTGTGTAGTTCGTGGTTTTGTTAAATACTTTTGATATTTACGTCAGTGTCTTGTCTCTTTTTAAAATGTCTTCAGTCCTGATCCCTCAGTGGAAGAGACATACGACTTCAAAACCATCCAGAACATTGACTGCTACAACACGGACTTCTGTGTGAAGGTCCGACACGGCATGCGTTACTGGAACATGACGGTGCAGTGGTGGCTGCATCACTACATCTACCCCAACTCCCCCTTCAAAGCCTACACTCTCAGGTGAGGCTGAGTGTGTGCTGCTGGTTGTGTACCACTTAATGGGACCGGAATTTTGTACACAAAGCGTAACGTCCTTATTTCTTTAATCTGAAGTAAATCTGATAACAGAGGGAAAATGCTCACAGTGTTTCTGTTTGACTTTAACATCTCTCCTGTCTTTCTTCAACTCTCAGGGCGGGCTGGACTATGTTTATCAGCGCCTACTGGCACGGACTACACGTGGGCTACTACCTCTCCTTCCTCACCATCCCCTTGTGCATCGCAGCCGAGTCCGCCATGGAAGCCTCCGTCCGAGCTAAACTGGGTCCTCGTGGTCAGAACATCTTCGACTGGGTCCACTGGTTCTTGAAGATGAGGGCCTACGACTACATGTGCATGGGCTTTGTGCTGCTCAAGGCCTCTGACACCATCAACTACTGGACGTCCATCTACTTCATCATGCACATCATCGCTGTTTGCTGCATAGTAGTGGGCAGGGTGCTGAAGGGAGGGAGAGGGGAAGGGAGGAGAGGGGACAAGGAGGAGAAAAGAGAGGGAGGGAAAGGAGGGGAAGTGAACAAGAAACCTGGAGAAAAAACAGACTAAAGGGAGGTAAAGAAAAGAAGGGATGCTTTTTCGGACACAAGGAGCTAATTTTAGAGACGTTCCAACATAATTTGCAACAACACCCCAATACAAGTCCAACAAGATATCCAGTGAGAAAAGTTCAACTCAATTTTATTAAATGCAAATACACAGTCAGACAGTAGTGTCACATGTAAATGTCGGTAAATTGTCGCCACTGGAGACATTGCATATACAAGTACTGTGAACACTGGTGGAGGAATGTTTGAGCACAATGAATGTTACTTTTGTATTGAGAGGTAACCTGAGCATCTGCCTGTACTTACTGTGTGATTTACTCCGAGATATCGTGCTCAGTCTTAAGTGTGTTTGGAGCCGCAGAGCTCGTCATTGACACGTCAAACCAGTGTAACCATCAGAATTATTACCACAACCAACAAATCATTTCAGCAGCGCTCAGTATTGTGTTACAGTACGTTTATACTGGAGTAAAGAATGAATGGATTCTGATGGTAAACATGTTAGCATGGCGTCATCTTCAGGGCTCAGCTGTCATGACCTGCATGTTAATACCAGTCCCTCTGTAGATAGATAGAAACATCTCTGTGTTCTTGGCCAGTAGAAGAGATCTTCACGTGTTGCCCAAACTTCCTTGAATGCTTTGATCTTTAAAGCTAGGGTCACTAGGCCTCCTCCTGGCCTCCAGCTGACCGTGATGATACAGCCACGCTTTGAACTTTCTATTGGTTGATTTTCCTCAACCAGACTTCTGTTTGCTTTTCAATGTTGAGGATGTTGTTTTTAGTCCGATCGTGTGTGAGTGTAATTTATGAATTGTGTGGAACAAAAGGATTTTGCTGCTGTTTTGCATCTCAAATCAACACCAACAGCAAACAGACTCAACTCAATTATGTTTCTAGTTAGATTTAGAAAAACGATATTGTAAAATGCACTTTGTTGCAGTGATACATGGATTATGGTGCACAGTGAAACTGGTTTGGTGTTGACGGAGCACAAGGTCCAGATTACATCTCTATGGCTGCCCAACAACACAAGGACCTCTGTATGTGTTTAAATAAGATGAAGCATTTTCAGCTTTATTATTAGTGGCTAATTATTTCTGTGTGATATAATTTTCTCTGTTTGTATTTGATCTTTCCTTACATTTGTACCTATTAACCTCTCAGCTCATATCAGGGTACTGCATGCACTGACACCTCTATAAGTAGTGTTGTATCCGGTGAAGAGAGTGCCATGTGAAAAACATTAACAGTCCATTCACTGCCAAAATGTCTGTACTGCCATCGGGGACCATTCAGGGTTGGGACCAAACGTTTGATACAAAGTGGCGTGCTAACATCGTTTAATAAAAAGATGCCGACGTCAGTATGGAAAACAGCACAGTTTATTCTGGGCGATACAGTGGAAATTATATCACAATGTTAATTAAATGATTTTACAGTATTGATAAATGTCACAATATTAAAAAATGTTTGCAAATCACATCAGACCGATCTAAGGCTATACAAACTGAACAATGAACAAATGAACAAACTGAAACAGATCTTTGGAACAATATGCTTCTGCAAAAAGTTGAACACTTACTTATATGAGCATGACTGAATGCAGAATCTAAATGTATCTTTTTTTCTGTGTTTTGTTTGATTCTGAATTCGACTTGAGTGAATGGAGATAATTCAAGTAACAAAAATTGCATAGATTTTATGTTTTGCTGCTTCTCTTTGCCAAACCTCAACCTTTCCAGAAATCCGTTTATTCAGTTTTTATTATTACACCAGAGTGATGTTCTTTTGGCTGTTTGTCCATTTTGTTTACACTTTTTTTGCCTTAGTTTCCTTCACCAACTGTAACACTCCCTGCTCTGTAAGTGTTACATGTGGAGTGACAGTACACGTACGCCGTTCCTCACCGATATTACTTGTCTTCTCTTTTTAAAGTCTACATTTAATGTGGTTGTGGATGAATCATTTGTTCATTACAAACTTCATGTTGACTGTGTGTAAATAAAATCAAGATGAAACTTGTGGAAAAAGGCTTCTGTACGCCACATTTTTTCACTTGTCGGTCTGGAAAATCATCAACTGCAGCTTTAGTGAACACAAACACATCTGCGTAGTTACCTCACAACAGTGCTTCAGTGCTTTCTCTCAGCTAAGTGTGTGTGTCGCTAACTCAAGTGTTAACTCAGGGTCAAGTAATTCATATTTGTATTTCAACATGCAAACAGGAAATTTGTGTGTCTGTCTCTCAAAAACTCCAATGCTGAAAAAATTCCTGCACAAATTCAAGTTAACGAAACTTGAAATGCTTCGACTGCGACAAAACGTTTTTACACACACACAGAAGATGATATACAACTACAATACTGATTCATTCACATCATTAACTTGTTTTATATTTATTTTGTGTTTTTCATTTGAATTCAAAATAATCCCTCATGGCTTCCAGTCATGTGACGTTTCTTTGGTTCCCTCAGTAACACATTTTACTTCAGTGAACACATTAGAACAGGACTGGTAACTACGTCCCTGGATATAATGGGTTAAAGTACACAAGGAAGTACCTGTTTGGTCAATTACAAAGGGAGTAAAGTCCGTGAGAGAAGACGACGGGAGAAGGATTCCAGGATCAGCTACATTTCCTGGTGACGAGCTGCGTCAACATTTGTTTTATTCTCAGTCAGTCGTTGGTGAAGTTTTAGATGTTGTTACTGAGGAGTATGATTTTTTAAAAGCTGGTTGTGTTGAACTGAATCAGAGAAATGGCCAGTAAACCAGAGGACTCCATTGAAGTGTATGAATACACAGAAGGTGTGTCTTTTTCCTTTGTACTTATTATTCATTTTAAACCTTAAGACAGCCTCTGAATTGACTGACTATCAAAATAATGTTACTGTTAATAAGTAATCACACTTTAATCTGACTGAACTGTCATGATGAAAACTTCTGGATCATCTCCTTTTGCTGTTTTCTCTCCTTCGCTCTTCTGCTCGCTCTCAGGGAGCAGCAGTTACCCTGGTGAGCAGCAGCCGCTGAGGTTACGGAGAGTGTCATCTCAAGTGTCAAATCAGAATTACCCTCAGTTCAACTGGACCACAGAGGAGGATGAGGCGGGCAACAGTGGGCCTCCCCGGGACCTCAGGAGCATCCCTATGCCCATGGCTCTCAAAAGAGCTGTGAGGTACGAAAACCACTTTTAAGTTTTAGTGGACTTTTAGTAGTTTGTAGGTTAAAAATCCCCTTTAGACATGTTTTGCATTATATAAGAATATGAAGGGAGTATGTAACTTTCCCCAAACATTCCTGGAAAATTATTATGTAATTTTGTAGATAACAGGAAAATAGGAATATGCTTTACAAAATGTTTTAAACCCAAGTAAATCCTCATTTGTTTTTATTGGAATTTTAATTTTAATCTATATTTCTTTTCCCCTCAACATTTGCATGTTCAGCTGTACACTGACAAAATAACCCCCAGGTTTAATCAGCAATAAATTGGAATTTATTCATTTTCAATGTATCAACTGAACACTGTTTCTTGTTTCCCTACAATAGCGTCAAATTAAATACATCTTTTGAAATGTAATGGAAATTATTTTGAAATAACTAAAGAGTAAAGTCTTACAAATGGTGAAATTATTTCAAAACGTGTCCTTCACAGGCAGGTGCAGCAGATGCAGATTCCCGTGGTTTCCAGCGCTGAGTCTTGGAAACGGAAGAAAAACAAATCTCTGCGTAAATTTAAAGACAACTCCAAACAATTTCTCTACATTTTCGCACTGTGGAACAAGAGTTTGCAAAAGATTGGAGGTACACATTTTTATTTCTAATTGAAATGAAGGAGCTTGGTTATAAAAGCTTTCACACATTCACACAATCACACATTGTGTTGACTTTTACCACATTTTGATTTTCATATAAATATGAAAAAGTCTACTTAACACATCTTAAACTGTAAAAAAGTAATCAAGCCTCTTTTTCTCCTCTGCAGGGAACTTTGGAAGTGGTGTCCACTCATACTTTCTTTTCCTGAGATTCTTGGTGGTGCTCAACTTTGTGTCCTTCTTTCTAATCGCTGGATTCGTCCTCATCCCCAGCATCGTCTTCAGATCTGTTGTCTCCAGCCTCACAAACAGCACCGGTAATCATGTGTCCAAACTCCAGTTTGTTAGCCCACAACTATTTGTTTTTACCAAACACTGTGTTTGCATGGTTCTTGATTTCAGGGTGTTTTATTCAGGAATTAAAAAGAAAAAACGCTCAGGTGCAAGATCCCCAAAACACTGGATACAACTATATAGAGGATACAACTGGTCTTTTTCACTGCAGACACTTTGAGTTGTCACAGTTAGGAAAAACATATTTTACGAATGAAAGCTATTGTATTTTTCAAAACTGTGAATAAGAAATCCAAATTCATTTACTCTTAAAACTGTAAGATAACTAAAGGGCCTGTACATTCAGAGAGGTGCAGAAGAACTTGCAGAAATAATATTGTTGTTGTTTTGCAGGTCCAGAGAAATGCATGGAGTATAACCCTAATTCTAATGGCTTGGTGGTGTTCTATGAATATTTCCTTGACTTGCTGTCAGGAACGGTGAGAAACTGCAGCATGTGAACATGATTCTTCACACTTCACTCATATAAGAGCTTGGACTGTCCATAACAAAACTGTTTCCTGGATTTAAGAAACACTGAGGTCATACATTTGGATTTGTTTTGATAAAACACTCCAGGAAGCAACTGCTTACATACAAGAAATACTCCAACAGATATAGCTATCAGCTCTTTGTGGACACACAGACTAATGCTGCTTGTTTGTCTCCATATTTGGAGCTGGAGACATGATAGAGACATGACAGGATAGACATAAGAGTGGTATATCACATCTAAGTCTCAGAAAGAAAGCAAATAAATAATATAAAATGTTAACCAGTGTTTTAAAACAAAGTGTACTTTATTCTAATCATTCAATATGGCATCATTATCTTATGAGTGCACAAATAAAAATCTACATTTATAAAGTTAAAAAATACCATTTACATAACAGAATGGAATAGATTGATGTGTACTGTACATTTTAAAATAAAAGTTGATAAGGTGAGTTATAAAAATGATAGCAGGCTCCACTCCAAGTTGCTCATCGTTACAGTTTTGCAAATCTTCCCCATCTACCATCAAAAATAAAGTGGACATGACCTCAGTGACCCAACAGTGGCTGTCGTCTCCTCTTTTATCTTCTGCTGATGAAAGGAAACATAAATCACATCCCATGTATATTTAAGTACATCAGAGATTCTTTGTGACCATCCTCTCCTCTTCAGGGTTTTATGGAGTATTCCTATCTGTTTTACGGCTACTACAGCAACACAATGGTGGAGGACAGGAACTTCTCCTACAACATTCCCCTGGCCTACATCCTGACTGCCGTGTTCTACTTCGCCTTTTGTCTCGTTTGTATCATAGCACGGTGAGTCCAGTCAACGATCAGTATTTAGTGTGTGTGTGTGTGTGTGTGTGTGTGTGTGTGATTGTATGGCATCTCAGTGAAGGGTCAGGTCAGTGCATGACATTTAAAGAGTTGAGCTTTCAGTGCATCCTCCTCTCACACACAGTATGGGGACTACTGCTAAAGTTGCCGTGGCAACGGGAGGCAGCGCCGTGGGCAACTACAGCATGATAGTGTTCACCGGCTGGGACTACAGTTGCCTGGGAGACCAAGATACCAAACTGAAGCAGAAAAACGTCCACTACCGGCTGCAGGTCAGAGGGGATGTGTCCCACTTAGCAAGAATGAGGGCAGAAGAAGAGAAACGTGACCCACATGTGTCAGTTTATCCCTCTGCAGTTTTACACAGTCATTGTTAACTCCTTACCTCCCCTCTGTACCCTCTGTCTCCGTCAGGTGGATCTGGAGGAGGAGAGAATAAAGAAACGGGCAGCTGCTCTGACCTTGGGTCAAAAAGTTCTTCTGTACTCTCTACGTATTTTTTTGCATTTGGTTGCTTTTGGGCTCATTATAGGAGCCTTCTACGCCATCTTTGGGGCCACCAACTTCAGCCAGGTAAATCATGTTACAGCAGGCGATGCTTACTATGTCTTGTTCAACTCTTGCGTGACACGTCGGCTCCCATATCATCCACACAGCAAAAGAGCGGGATGCAAGGGATCCTGGGTTTGACCTATGAGTATCTTCCCTCCATCGTCATCACCGCTGGGAACTTCCTGGTGCCTCTGCTGTGTGACCAGATCGCCCTAATAGAGAAATACGCCCCCAGCACCACCGTTATAGTGGCACTATTAAGGTTTGCACTTTTGTTTTTATGGGATAATCCACATCACAAGATTTTGCATTTAGATCAATATATAGATTAAGGCTGAAGAATCTCTAACTCAAGTAAATTTACTATGAGAACAGTCGATAGTCATTTTGTTCTCCTTGTCCAGGGCCGTGTTCCTGCGTCTTGTGAGTCTGGGAGTTCTCCTCTTCACCCTGTGGCGTCAGATCACCTGCGAGGGGAACATAGATGGTGCAGATTGTAAACTGTGCCGGTACAACTATGATTTTTACCCAGTAAGTACACCACTTCACAGCCTTTGAGTGAATGCTTTCTTTATACTGATAGGATCGAATGAGTCGCACCAAGAAAAAACAAGTACCAGCAGTTTAAGACATAACTCAGAGGGAACATTTAAAATAAGAAATATGATGACATTCTGCAGTTTGAGATGACACATTTTCTAATTCAACTTCCCTGTTGTGTGTTTACATTTTTCATTAAAACATCATGGAGGCAGAGACTATATTTAAGGGATCAGCTGAGGGCGGCGGTGGACAACTGCGTATTTGCATCAGAATACAGTCTCTATATAAATTGTGCCTTTCATGCAAACATGCAAAATAAGGTGCTGAACAATACAATTGAAATACAAAATTAAATTAAAACACAACAATACAATGAAAACAATTATTAAAATATTTAAAAAGAAAATGAATTGAAATAAAGCAGGTTGATTTAATCCAAGGGATTAAGAGAATGCTCAACTACACAGGTATAGGTTTTAAGATTTATTTTATAATATGTGAAATAGTTCTGCAAGTTTTAAATCTGCTACTGTCTAAATAAGGCTCTCATGTTGTAGTGCTGGGAAACACGTATCGGACAGGAGATGTACAAACTGACACTATTTGACCTCCTCGTCAACATCGCTGTGCTCGTCCTGGTGGAGTTTCCTCGCAGGTTAAAACCAATATCTGAAAAATGTATCTACAGACTGTGTTGACAGTAAGTTGTTTAGTTATGTGACTGTGTTTTTGTGTGTGTCAGGATGGTGGTAGATAACTGGTCCAGTAAGCTGGCTCAGTGGGTGGGTCGGCAGGAGTTTGTGGTTCCCTCCAACGTGCTCGGCCTTGTTTATGGTCAGACTGTGGTTTGGACCGGGGCTCTTTTTTGCCCTCTGCTGCCGCTCATCAATACCATCAAGTTCATCATCCTCTTCTACACCAAGAAGGTGAAGATGTTGCTTTAAAAAACTTGTCACACAATTCCTCTTGGTTTTGTTCCTAAAATTGTCTCGTGTCTCATCATCACCGTCCCCCCCTCAGATCACGCTCTTCTATAACTGCCGACCAGCACTCAAGACGTTTCGCTCCACCACCTCCACCTTCTTTTTCCTGGTGGTCCTGCTGTTCGGCTGGGGCCTGGCCACAGTTGTTATGATTTACAGTCTGGCTGTGTGAGTGCTGATTGCTGCATTGTTCTCTCTAACAAATATAACAGAGGTGCTTTTTGAATAAGGAGATTTTGTTTATGGATATGTTTTTGTAGTTGTATTACATTGTTAAAGAGCAGTGTTTCCCTCTGTCCTCCCAGGATTCATCCGTCTTATGGTTGTGGTCCTTTCCGTTTCTTCCCCAACATGTGGTCAATTGTTCCGTCGTCTTTCTACAAGCTCTCTGAAACTACACAGGACTTCCTCTTCTTCATTGGCTCCCAGGCGTTCTCCATCCCTCTGTTTACATTATCGTGGTGAGTAAATGTGTTCTTTCTGCAGGATTATTACTCTGGTATAAACAGCACTGTATTTAACCCTAAATGTTGATTTAAGTCTGTATTTTACATGCAAATTATGTGGCCCTTCATTTTTCTGAAGTTTAATCCTGTCTCCTTTCTCCCTGACAGCGTGGTGTTGTTTTATTTCATAGCCTTAGCCTCTGTCTATGGGAAAAGTGTTGCTCTTCTAAGAGTGCAGCTAAAACTGGTAAGTGATTAGCATTAACATTTATAGTGCACTCTAAAGACTTACATGTTCTTAAATTGTGATCATATGTAGGCTGACCAATGTGACCTCCTAATACTCACAGGCATTCCGTTTTACTCACTGTGTTTGACTTGCAGGAAGGCCGTGACAAGCAGTTCTTGGTCAAGCAGATCGAGCAGCTGGGTCAACAGCTTCACATACCCACAGATCATGCAGGAGTACAAGACTGAACATATGGAAAATGTCTGGTTTCTTCAACTTTTTTCACCGTCTTCAAAACTGTTTTGGTCATTGACATTTCTACTCTGTTTGACCGTCACTGCAGGATAACACTTGTTCAGAGTGTAATTTTAAACGAGTGTTTTCAGACAGTTTGATAAAACAGTTTCTCTGTGCTTTTAGGTGTTTTCTGGCAATGTGTGTGTGAGACATTTCTAAATAACTAAATCAATTTTTGTGTGGAAAAACCTTATCAGACACAATTTACCGTTCAAAGTAGAGAATTATTTTTTATACATATGTCTGAATGTGTCTGGATCAGATCTTTAGAAATGAAAAATGGTGAGAAAACTATAAACACAGTTTGCATCTGAATTCACTCCTCATGTATAAAATCTGTGTCACACAATGCTGACTGGCTTTGAGCAGATAATCCTGCCACAAGATTATTGAAATAAAAATGACATAGTCTTTAACAGATCAAAAACAAGATGTCTATTTTGAGAAAAAAGTATGTGGTTTGGTTATTTACATGCAGTGAAAAAAGTTTTTATATAAAATAAATAATTACAAAATGATTTATTATTATATATGTTATGTATTATTACAGATTATACATTATTACAAACCTTTTACCACTTGTGTCTGTCCATTAAAAAATGGATTTGTATGTTTTTGTTTCGTCGACACATAATAAAATAACAGAACGTGTAGCGACCTCTAGTGTCGCACTCATGGCGCTGCAGCTCTACGTAGTGTTTACTTCCTGTTTGGCTGAGCTTGTTCCTGTTTGCAGCTGTGAGGATCATCAGCTCTTCTCTCTGTGACTCTGACACAATATTTGCGTTTTAATATAAAAATGGTCGCAGTGACGCGTTTGTTGTGAAGGTGAAAGTTAAATGTTTAACGTTGAAACTGCGTAGTTACGTGTTTAGTGTGAGTTGGGAAGCAGCAAACATCGGCTAACGTTAGCTTAGCGGTAGCCAACCGACTGACAACAACATTGTCTGTGTCGGTCTTGTCAGTTAGCAGCTTTGCTAACTCCCCGCCTTCCTTCAGGTGTCACGGTTACCTGACAGAATTGTGTGTCTCCCTGTTTCCTCCGCTCGTCCCGGCTTCAGTCGACGCTAGCCTCTCTGAGCTAGCTACCCGCTAACGTGCAACATCAGCAGTCGTCAAGGAAACCATGAACATCCTCCCGAAGAAGAGCTGGCACGTGCGCAACAAGGACAACGTCGCGCGCGTGCGGAGGGACGAGGCCCAGGCTGCGGAGGAGGAGCGCGAGGCCAAGAAGCGCGTGGAGCGTGCAGAGCAGGAGGTGATCTATCAATCTATCAAACAATCTATCAAACAATCAATCTTTATTCGTGCAGCAGGTTATAGTTAATACAGGTTCATGCATTTCAAAGGGCAGACAGCATTACAATAGTCTGGTTTTAAAAGTGTACACCAGTTTCTTTGTGTTGCTCAGACACTTATTTATGAGGTGATCATTTGTAGATTGACGTGAGCCCTCAAGTCTGATTCTGAGTGAAAAGTGTATTTTAAAAAAAGTAGGAAAATGAATTAATTGACGCCCCCTATTTAAAAACCACACAGGATTAACATCTCCTTATTTGAAGCTTAGAGTGAATCAATTACACAACAGTAGAAGAAAGCTAATAATAATTCCTCCTCACAGGCCCGTACAGAATATCTAAGAAGAAAATCCCGAGCTGCTCTTGAGTCAGAAGGAGTACGGACAGAAGATGTTGGTGATGAACAGAGTGGAGGAAGTGGAGTTCTGGAGCATCTCAATCTGTTTCCTCTGGAAGATTCCTCGGAGAAGAAAGGGAATGAAGAGTACCTCAAAGAAAAGCAAGATGAAAAGGTGATGGTGCTAAACTGTCTTTCACTCTCCTCTGAAGTCATTTTTAAAATTATTTTGATACCATTTCTTATTTACACTGAAGCAATAATCAGGGTAACCCATTTGTTGTTGCCATTCTGAGTCTGTGCAACACCCAGTTTGTTTTCCTTGTTTTTCCCCAGGAGAAGCAGGAGCGTGCCATTGGCTTGCTGGTGTCTCTCGGACCCCAGCCTGGGTCTGAGGTCACTCCATGGTACCTGAAAACGGGTCAAGAAAAAGAAGAAAGGAAAGAAAAAGAAAAGAAAAAGGGAATAAGTGAAGAGGAGAGAGAGAAGAGGGATCGTAGACTGAAGGATAGTTTGGATCCATTGAAAGATATGAAAAAAGCTCTGGCTGTAAAAGACAAAAAAGGACACAAGAGCAAGAAAAGGGAAAAAAGATACCAGGGGGAAAAGAAGAGCAGTGGAGAGAGGTAAGAATATGAACATTGCTTTTCTGAGTATTATAATATCATAACACTAATTATATCCATTATATCCAATAAGTATTTCAGCCCAGTTATTCAGAATATTAAGGTTTTCCATATGAATTTTCTGTTTTTGTTATCGTTCTCTGAATCTCAACTCTACATAAATAGTGAACAGTTCTTGTCGTCAGCTATTCTCCTGAATCATTGGGGATATGAATGTGATGTTGTTGAGAGTGTCATCGTTGAGCATTGACATAATGTCTCTTCTGTTGTGTCCAGCTCCATAGAACAGTTACGTGCTGAGCGTTTACAGAGGGAGGTTGAAGAAAGGAGACGAGCCCAGGCCCTGATCGATCAGAGGAACGGCAAAGGAAAGGACAAGGAGGCGGGGAGGGAGCTGAATGAAAGGGAAAGGCCGTACAACACCGCCTTCTTCCCAGAACTGGCCCGAAAGAGACAAAGGCGGGACCGAGACAGCTGGAAAGAAGAGATATTAAAATCATGAACTGTCTTTCTAGTTGTTTGAAGAGTTTGTTTCTAAATGTAGAAACCCAGAGGAAAAGAAGGTAACATGGAAACTGGGTGAAGAGCTACATTCTAAACATACCTGTAACCTGGTGATATGAAACTGAGGATGATGACTAGATCATTTCTTTTTATTTATTTAAATTCTTGCAGCAAAGTCAGAAGTAAGCTTCAGCTGCAGATACCTCTGCCCATGCTGTGTTACGTCAGCTGGGCAGATGGTTGCCATCACAGGGGGCTTGACTCCAGGCTGTCAACAAAGAAGATGCTCTAACATGGTTCATATTATTATTATTCATCATTGTTATGGTCAATATGAAACATGAAAACAAAGGTGAAGTATGGTGTAAGGTGAGCAAACACAGCGCACACTGAGTGAACAGTAGTCTCAGTCAAATCCTCTGATAGTTCACACGATTTATCATATATAAAAATCTGAAGAACAATTTTCTTTTCCCAGACATTGTTTTGGGTCAAAATTATTTGTCTCATATTTCAGGATTAGTTGTTTTTCTTTGTCATATATGAAGAAAACTTAAACCTTGAGTTTTCTACTGTTGGTTGAATAAAACAAACAATCTCAAAGTGTTGTGAATTGAAACAGTTGACCCTAACAATCTGCAAATAAATATTGTAATTTGCACAGCTGATTTTGTGAGTAAGGGGATGTTGAAATGATGAAATGATATTTAATTGATAGAGGAGGATATTGTAATTAAATAACATTATTCTTTTTTTACCAAGTAAAATATTGGCTCTTTCTCTTGTTGAAGGTGTGGTCAATTAACACCATTTCCCCCTGT